AAAGAGATGGGTTAGGGACACAGACCTGGATCAAGCAGTATTCTCATGGACAGCATGTTCTATGCAAACTATCTACAACTTAAGGATTACTCGGCCCTTAGCCTGAATCTTTCCTCAATTCAAAGCGCTTCCTAAAATGTGAGACATTATAAGGTACAAAAATATCTTAATAAAATAGCACATGTAGATTAAAGAAGAAATTAATGCAATAAGAAACAGAAGAATAATATAGAAGATATCAGAAGCTAGTTCCAATAAAACTGATAAATCCACAGCTTATCCAATCAAGAAAAAGAAGTAATATTTCTCACTTGTGAAAACTTTATGCCAATAAATTCAGAAACATAAATAGGATGGGAGAATTTTTTGAAAGACACAGACACATCTCTTTCAAAATGAAGTAGTCTGTATTCCCTTGTGCTTATTAAGGAACTTGAATTGTAGTTAAAACATTATAGCAAAATACATTTCAAGCCTATTTGGAGGGATTCGCTGATATATCCCACCAAACATTTGTTAAAGAAATAATTTCAATTTTACACAAATTCTTATTCCTCAAGAGCAATATTATTCTGATACCAAAACTGATGCTATTATAAGAAAATCACAAACTAATCTCCATCATAAGCACACATGCAAAATGTCATTGTAATATTTTAGCAAATTGTATTCTACAATATGTAACTGAAAACATCATGCATGATGAACTTAGCTATATCATAGAAATTCAAAGTTGGGTCATCAAAAAAATAACAATCAATGCAATTGCACATGTGAAGAAAACTGCATAACAATCTCAACAGATATAACTAGAAGGAATCAGCCTGAACATCAAGAAGGACACTATCACATGAGTCAGATCAGACACTCTAATGACTGTTTGTTTGTACTGTACTGGTATCAAGATTGAAAAGAAAGTCAAATGTTTTTCATTCGCCAACATTATGTATCAAAATTACAAAAGACATACAAAATATTAGTAAATTGTGGAATACAATAGAAATATGCAAAATTAAATGTTTTATTTGTAAGACATTTTAAAACTAATTTAAAAATGCACAATCGCAACAAAAGGCATCAATAATTAAGGATTAAAAAACTGAAAGGACAACAAAATGGTAGAGTGACAGTCTTCACAATCATTCCTCCATAAAAGCAGCAAAAAAGACTAGCAAAATTTTTTTGAAATCAAAGAGAACAATCAGAAGATCAATTATTTCGAAAACAAACAAATAAAACTTTCTGCTGACTGCTTCTATTCATACTGCACCAAATCAAAGTAGCACAGTAGGGTTTGTGGCTTTCTAAATTAAACTCCTCCCATTTCCTGTCTCCCAGCTCCAGGATAGTCTTGAAATAGAACAGCCTTGAAGAATCAGATAAGTTTAAAAGGTTTCATAAAGTAGCAATTCCAGAGCACTGCCACTCTTCCACCCACCTGATAGCTCCCAGAAATTACATTCATAGAATGGTGGTGTTATTGACCTGATTTGGTACACCACCGGAAAAGCTCTATCCCAGGTTGTCTGTTGAAGAAACTCGGTGCCAAATGTTTAATATGACCGCACCCCAAGGCTCCAATACCAGTTGGAACAAATAAGAACAGTAGCCCATAGGGGAATCTGAAAATCACTGACACATTCCTAGGGAACAAGGAAGAGCACACATATATGCAGAGATGTTCTCATGCCCTGGCAAGAGCAGAAAATGCACCAATTTCTCACATCTGAACAACTGTGAGGTCACACACAAGCAGGAAATGAAGGCTAAGGCAAAGTTATAAATAGTCTAACTGCTGAAGGTCCAAACACAAATAGGAGGCCCTTAGCAAATAGTTCAAAATAAATTCGGTAAGAAATTTAAGGAAATCTTTAGCCAATCATTAGTTGACCACTAAGTTAATAAAGTAATCACTTCAGTGACCCCAGAGTACAGGAAATATTGGGTGATTAGTACAGGAAATCCATTAAACAAGTGAACAGAAGCAACAGCTACACAATTTAGAAATCAGCAATGCAACTAAAATGTTTGCAAATCAACAAAGTACTACAAAACATAGAAAATATGTTTCATATACAGGAGGGAAAAAGATTGCCAGTAGAAATGGTTCAAGAGGAGTACAGATAGTAGATTTTCTAGATAAAGACTGAAACATCTATAAATATGTCCAAGCTACTGAAAAACTATTTGTAAAGAATTAAAGCAATAGCACCTTTATTTCAATTGCCAAAAACTAAAAGTAGCCACAATATCCATCAATGGATAAACAAAGGTGATGTATTACTACTAACAAAATAAGTCAAGAATTATTAGGTAAAATGACATGAATAAATCACAAAATAAACAGTGAATCAGACCCCTCCCACTCCCAAAGAGCTCATATTGCACAATGATTTAAAATTCTAGAGGACACAAACTACAAAGATTGGAAGCAAATCAGTGATGCCTAGAGATGAGGAGAGATGGAAAAGAAGGATGGTCAAGGGTTTGAAAGAACTGGGCAGTGCAGCTCACACGTGTAATCCTAGCTACTCAGGTGGTTAAGATCTGAGGATCTAGGTTTGAAACCATCTGGAACAGGTGAATCCAAGAGACTTAGCATAAATTAACCAACAAAACCCAGAAGTGGCTCAGATCTGAAAGAAACTAGAGTATCTTGATTATGATTTTGGTTTTAGGATTGTAGATTCATGTGGACATCGTAAACTCCACACCTGACAATGTGTTATTCAATTCAGTTATCCCTCCAAAACCGTTACAAATAGCACTGAAATAAGAGTGGTACCTGGTCAGAATGAGGACTCCTAAATATTTAATTACTAGGAATAGCAATAACAATAGCAGAGATAAAGGAATAGCTATTAAGTACCCAACTAGACATGTTTTCTAGTTATCTGAGCTTACCTCACTCTATTGAAATATTTCTGACAAAGGATGCTCCATGACTTTTACATTGCTAAATCAAATAATCAGTTCTCAGACAGATCTCACTGGACCTATCTGTATTTAACACGTCCATATTATCATTCTCCAATCTTAAGACACTTTTTACACTTGTAGTACAAGATATTCACCTGAGCTGGGCGCAGGTGGCTCACGCCTGTAATCCTAGCTACTCTGGAGTCTAAGATCTGAGGATCATAGTTCAAAGCCAGCTTTGGAAGCAAAGTCTGTGAGATTCTTATCTTCAATAAACACTCACAAAACTGGAAGTGACATTGTGGCTCAAGTGGTAGAGCGCTTGCCTTGAGCTGAAGAGCTGAGGGATAGTGTCCAGGCCCAGAGTTCAAGGCCCACGACCGACAGAAAAAAAAAAAAGATAGTCACCTGATGCTCCTACATCCCAGACCAGGCTTTTATCAGCTAATGGAAGCTTGACTCCCATCCTTGGAAGGACTCAGCACTCATCCTTGACAGTATCTTTTCTTAGTCACACTCAGTGATCTCTTTCAGTCTCATAGTTCCCAAATCAGCAGTTTGCTGAGGTGTCCTGTTTTCTACCTCTAAATCAGACCAGAGTCAGTCTTCATGCTGCCTTAACAATATCATCATTTAGACACGCAAGGGACAGCTGAATCGAACATGCCCTTCCCTCCCACCTTGCATCCAATCATCTGCAAATCCCTGTTGTCTCTGTACTCAATAAATCAAAAAATCAACACTCATTTCTCTCTGCCACCCTTGTGAAGGAGGAAAGCCAGCATCATAGCCTGTAGAAAATGGCACCATGGTGACTTGCCTGGATTTTCCCATTGCAATCTTGCATGGCATCTTTCTGTCTTTGCCTCACTAGCACTTATTCTCAAAATAGGATTAAGAGAAACTTGTTAAAATGGAAGTCAGATCTGGTTTTGAAGAGAGGTTATTTGGTTGATGGGGGATGGTGGAGGGATCTTACGGAACGTTCAAATTCCTTACTTCAGTCAGATTTACTGGTCAATCCCTCTACCATCCCCATATTAATCAAACAGACTCATCTTTTACAACTTCTCTCATCTGTCCATTGCTAAGTATCTTATTTCCTATAATTTGTACTGCTAGTCTTAGGGCCTCTTCATATGCTTCCCTGGATATTTCTACCCCCAACCTGCTGTCTGGAGAACCCCCTCCTTAATCTCGTTATAGTTCAAGCCAAAAAGCTTCTGAGTGACACCTTTCTTGGCCCTATAACCAAAAATCTAACTTTCTGTCTCCTCCAACCCCAAAATGACATTTTTCCTTCCCATTTTTTTCTTCTAGTGCTTATCCACATAACATAATTACTTATTTAATGTATTTTCTCTCATATGGAAAGACATTTCTAAGAGATGATCTCTTTCCTACTTCCAGGCAGATATTTCTTTCTAGATTATTTCCTGCTGTATCTCCAACATCTGGCATATAGTAAGTACCAACTAAATGTACAGTAAAGAATGGGGGGGGGGAAATCAATAGAAAAGGAAAATAATTGTTTCTGGTTGCAGGTTTCTGGTTTAGGGTTCATAAAGATTGCTTTACCTTCCTCCAAAGAAAACCAGAATTTCCTTCTCAGTCCAATCAGCAGTAAAGTAGTAAGAAGCCCAGACTAGACACTAGAAATATAGACCTTCATGCTAGCCCCAAACTAAGCCACCCAATCCTAGGTCCTTCCCCTCCCTGGCCTCAGTTTCCCAATGTCCATGAGAACAGGAGAAGCCAGATATTGAAGATAACTTCAAGCTACATAGTGCAAGGACCAGAAGACTCTGTGTCTTGGGACTCAATAGGAAATGTTAAAAAAAAAAAGGTATAGCACGTATTCTGATTCATAGTTTTTCTAAGCAGACAAGCACAGGAGGAAGTAGGGAGGTTTAGTTTTATTTTATTGTCCTTAAGTAACTATAAAAGGGGTTTCACTTCAGCAAGTCAGTTCATGAATACATCTTGATCAAAGTCACCTCTTACATCTTCTCTTCCATCTCTCCCAACCTCACCCATCCATCCCCTCCATTGACCTAGTTAGAAGAAAAATTTTAACTTACCAGCCTCCAAAGAAATCAGTGGAATTATGAAGCAAGCAAGGCTGAGTAACACTTTCATATTCTCCTGAAGAAGTGGAAGGATGAAAGAGACAAACATGTTACTATTCTAGCAAGTCTCTAAAGGCAGACACTGAAAGCCCATCTGTACCCATGCTCACTCTGGTGGAATAGCCCTGCATTAGCGAGTTAATGATGCTGGGCTTCTAGTTAGAAAATGGGAAGGGAGGGTAAAGATTGTTTAACAGCATTGCAGACAAACTTTAACAACTTAAGATTTAAATCCCAGTATAAGCTGATAGTCTTGCATCCTATTTAAATTCTTCCAAAATCAAGTCTACATCCAAAGTAGACTGTATCACATTTTTACTACATCTGGAAAAATGAATCTTCCTGAACATGTACAGGCATTTTTCTTGCCATTACTCCCTAGACAATACAACAGAACAACTATTTACATAGAATTTATATGGTTTTTGGTCTTATAATTCATCTAGAGATCATTTACATGGGACTATGTACATAGGTTAAATGGAAATCCTACACCACCTTTTACAGGGGGCTTGAACATCCATAGATCTGTTATCCATAGGATTCTGGAACCAATCACCCACACATATTAGAAAAAAAAACTGTCCGCTAGACCCAAATGAGCTTCCTCTGCTTCTGTGGAATTTCTGCCTATATCACTGGCATGAGCCATGCTACTAGCACCCACCTGCCAAAGTCATCCCCTAATGTAGGCCAACTACGAAGCCATGCCTTCATTTTATAGTGGGAGACATTAAATTGCCTGTACAATATAATGTAATTATATTAGAGGGATGTGTCAAGACTGACTTTTAAAAATGTCTTAAATTTAGGTTGATGCTTGTGTATTTTCCCTTCTCTAATTTTTTTTTACTTCCCCAAAAGTTCTATAATGAGTGTGTATGACTCTTTTCACAATGGAAATCAGAAAGAAATAACTCCAGTGTTCTCCCCTGTGCTGGTTCTGAAGGTCACACCAACATATAATGGTTGGTGACTGGGCTACATATTAAAGAGGTCCTGATAATTACTTAAATGACACATATATGACAGGCATGGGGCGTAACCAGATCAGGCACTTGCCTAAAATACCAATTCCAGAAGGAGAACTGACCCACTTCCTTATCTACAAAATGAAGTCACTACAGTAGTAGCAAATACAAAAGAGAAAAAAAAACTGCTTTTATTTTGCTTGCCTTTCTAAACATCTCATACCTAAATGAAGTTAATGTACATTGTTGCTCCTTTATGTCCCTGAACCTTCCTCTTTGGGGATCTTACAGTGACACACAGTAAGTTCCAGTCTTATAGCTCTTATATTGTGCTTTTGCACAAATTCACTCACGGCCTGTAAGCACCTGCCCTTTAATAGGCTGCAAAAAACTAGACTCTCTCTTGTCCCACTAAACTCCCATAGGTGTTCCCCCCCACACACCCTTAATGACAGGTATAGGCTATTTCTAAAGCTACTAGATGTGATCCAAAAGAAATAAAGATCTAGCATCCTGAGGGCTCCACCAACTCTGGCCTCTGTCTCCCCAGACCTAAGCAGTCTGTTTCCTTAGATCACCAAACCCCATTTAGTCCCAGCCACGGCTGGTAAATCACAGCTCAATGTATCTCAAGCTCTTGCATGGACTCATGACAGCAACAGGTTCCTTATCAATCCCCCCCCCCAACACCTATGGATATATGTCTTCTAATTCATCTAGAGAGCTGGCATTCATCAAATAAACTGCTCAAAAAAGTGTTTTTTGAGCAGGAGAAGGCCCAGCTCTCTAGAACAGTATGTGGGGCCTTTGTGCTAGGCCCTGGCTTACCTCTCTAGACACCCTCCTGCCCAGAGCACGCCAGAGTTCAGCCCTCACTTCCCCATGTGCTCCAACCTCAGTCTCATTCCCTCCATCTTTCACCCGCTTCTGTCATACTCTATCAGGTCTCAGTCCCCAGCTTTCCATCAGCCCTTACCCAGGGACTTCCATTCCCTGAGCCTAGCTTTCTCCTCTGGGTCTCCTAGCAAACTGTATGCCTACCATGGCCCTAAGAACTGTCCTACACTGACCCCAGGACAGGAAATCTCAGAGGATTGAAACCAAGGCTTTCTTATCTCTGTCTTCTGAGCATGTAGCACTGAACTTGAACTCTAGAAGCCCTTAGGAAAGTCCCATGGAATGAATCAACTCCATGAACAAAAGAAATAGCTATATTTTCCACTCAACGTTCGGGCTATTGGACCCAATAGACACCCAGAGCAAACTTGTGTGTGTGTGTGTGTGTGTGTGTGTGTGTAAGAGCTCTTCCTTTGCCTTTTCACTCAAAGCTTGTTCTCTACCAGTTGAATAACACCTTCACATTAACTTTTTCCTGATTATTTGAAGATAAGCGTCTCATGGTCTTTTCTGCCTGGGATAGCTTTGAACCACAATCCTCAAATCTCATCTTCCTGAATAATAACTAGTATAACAGGTGTGACCCACCATCACTCAGCCACATCATTCTTTGCTCAAAGTCTGCTTCTTAATTTTCACAAATTAAATTTGATTATTTTCTTATCTGTAGCTGTAAGTATATGCCAACAAAATATTTTAACTAAGACTCTTGTCTTAGTTAATCTTCAGATTCACATGATCATTTGAAAACTAGTTGGGAAGATGTTCTATTTTTATTTATTTTTCTTTTATTTTATTGTAAAGGTGATGTACAGAGAGGTTAGTTACATAAGAATGGTAATGAGTACATTTTTTGGAACAGTGTTATCTGCTCCCTCATTTCTACTTCCCTCTCCCAACACCCCTCCCCCAAGTGGTAAAGTTCATTTCCACATTGTGTCTAGTATCACTGTTGCATTGGTTCACCCTTGTCCCACCGTTTTTGTGATTCCCCTTCCCTTCCTCAAATCAGTTAAACTTATATACGAGAGAAAGCGTACAGAAATTTTAAAAAGTGTGGGCGCCAGTGGCTCGTGCCTGTAATCCTAGCTACTCAGGAGGCTCAGGTCTGAGGATCACGGTTCAAAGCCAGCCCAGGCAGGAAGGTCCAAGAGACTCTTATCTCCAATAAACTACTAGAAAACCGGAAGTGGCTCTGTGGCTCAAGCAGTAGAGCGCTCACCTTAAGCTAAAGAGCACAAGGATAGTGCCCAAGCCCAGAGTTCAAGCCCCATGATCGACCAAAAAAAAAAAAAAAGAAACAAAAAAAGTGACAACAGGGAATAAACCAAAGGGAAAAGAAAGAAAGAGAAAAGAAGTAATTGCAAACAGTGCACTACAAAAACCTCTTGCTTACATTTCTTGGAGTTCATTTCGATAAGCTTCATTTTATATGGTTATAGGCACATGGCTATTGAGCTATTGTGATCTTTTGCTAAGATTATCTTAAACATATTGTAGTTATTACAAATGAGGGAAACCATGCATCGTATGTTTCTTGGGTCTAGCTTACTGCATTTAATATAATTTTTTCCCAATCATTCCATTTCCTTATGAATAGGACAATGTCGTTCTTTCTGATGGAAGCACAGAATTCCATTGTGTATATATACCACATTTTCTTGATCCATTCATCTACTGGGTTGATTCCATATTTTAGCTATGGTTTTAAAAAAATGCTGCAATAAACATGGTTACACTGGTAGCTTTGCTGTGGCCTTGTTTGTGATCATTTCGGGAAATTCCCAGGAATAGTATTGCTGGGTCATAGGGGAACTCTATGTTTAAGTCTTTTGAGGAAACTTCATATTGCTTTCCAGAGGGGTTAAACAAGTTCACATTCTCACTAACAGTGTAGTAGCATTTTCTTTTGGCCACTTCCCCACCAAAGCAACTTATTATCAGTTTTCTTGATAATAGCCATTCTAACTGAGGTGGAGTCTCAACGTTGCTTTGATTTTCATTTATTTTATGGCCAAAATTGTTAAACATTTCTTCATGTGACTCTTGGCCATTCTTATTTCTTCTATGAACAAGTTTCTCTTTAAGACATCGGCCCACATTAGAGTTGTTTCTTCAAGGATTTGTTTTTGAACTTTAAAAATATTTTAGATATGAAGCCCTTGTCTGGTACATAGCTAGTATTCTTCTCCCAATCTGTGGGCTTTCTATTTATCTTGCTAGCTATGTCTTTTGACTTGCAGAAACTCTGCAGTTAAATGTAATCTGATTTATCCAGCCTTTCTTCGATTTGTTGTGTTTTTGGATCTTAATTTACAAAGTTTTAACCTGTGCTAAGGAGCCCTAGAGTTTCCCCTATCCCTTCTTATAATATTTTCAGAGTATCTGGTCTTACATTGAGGTCTTTGATCCATTTGGAATTGATTCTGGTACAGGGTGATATATAAGGATCTACTTCAGTTATCAATACATGTATAACCAATTCTGTTAGCACATTTGTTGTTGAACAGGCTGTCTTTCTTCTATCTTGTGTTTTTGGGTCCCTCATCAAAGATTAGGTGTCCATAGTTCATTTCCAGGTCTTCAATTACTCTGTTCCATTGGTCTCAGGCCTGTTCCTGTGCCAATACCAAACTGTTTTTATAACAACAGCTTTATAATAGAGTTTGAAGTTTAGTATTGATATTCCTCCAGAAATGTTCTTCCTTCTAAGGACTGTTTCCGCTATTTGGGGTCTTCTATTATTCCATGTGACTTTTTCGATTGCTTCTTCTATTTCATTAAACAATGTTTTGAGATATTCATGGATATTGCATTGAGCATTTTCACAATGTTAATCCTCCTAATCCAGGAGCATGGGAGGGTTTTCCACTTCCTTAAGTCTGCTTTAATTTCCTTTTTCAGATTTTTAGTTTCCATGATAGAGGTCCTTCTTTGGTTAAGTTAATAACTAGGTATTTTTTAGTATATTACAAAAGGAGTTACTTTCTTGATTTCAGCCTCACTCTCATCATTGCTGGGACACAGAAAAGCCATCAATTTTTGAGGGTTAATTTTATATATCCTACTACTTCGCCAAAGTTTTGGATCACCTCAAGTAACTTGGGAGAGAAGTCTATAGGGTTCTTTGAAGAAAAGATCATGTCATCTGCAAAGAAGGAGAGTTTTGGTTCTTTCTCTATTTGTATCCCCTATTTGTTTGTCTCTTGCCTACTATATATATATATATATATATATATATATATATATATATATATATATA